CGGTTAACAGTAGGTCAAAGATAGCTTCGGCCCTGGTCAAATCAAAAGTGTAGGCCTTCGTTTCTCGAGTTGCGAACTTGGCGTCGGGAATCTTCGTGCAACTATTGTCGGCCTTGACAAGTCCTTTGCAGACGAATGGCTTGTCTATGCTGACCTCGGCTGAGCTCATCTCAACTTCGTCGCTCTCGACTTCTGTGGGGCTGTCTGCTTCGGCATAACTGACAACGAGATTCCGATAGTAAGTTCCTTTTGAAGCCGTCCTCTTCTGCACTTCTTCTTTCAACAAGGATGCGTATCGGTCCACCTTGTTGATCAAGTCGTGCATGTCCCGGAATTTAATCCCCTAGAATTTCTTTCGGTATTCGAATTCTAATCCGTCTTCGGCCATCTTGACAAATTTCCTCTCCGGTAGGTTCGTGCGGCACCAGTTCCTGCACGTTTTGAACCGCTGCAGGTAGTCGCGAGGTGATTCGTCTGACGCCTGGCTCATCCTTGCCAGCTCGGCGACCGTTATTTCCAGGTTGGTCTAATAGAAATGTTCGTGGAAGATCCTTTCCATGTCGGACCAATCCCTCACCGAATTCTGCGGAAGGTTTATGAACCACGAGAACGTCGCGCCGGTCAGAGAGTGAACGAATAAACGGAGCTTCTAGGCGTCCGAATCAGCCTCTCCGCACTGGGCCATGAAGTGGCCTATGTGTTCGATGGAGGAGGTCTGCCCATCCCCAGAGAATAGAATGAATTCTGGCAACTGATAGTTCCGGGGAAGAGGGGTTTGGTTAATTTCTGGCCGGTATGGTTTGGTATACCTTGGCGCTTCCTGGCATCTCTGAGCCAGGCCGTCCTCGATCATTCTCCGGACGTCTTCGAATCGGAGTCCCTGAGGGGGCGCTTCTTGCTGGGCAGCAACCAGCCGCAGAACTTGTTACCCCTCGTTTTGCGGCCTTATCTGCTGGGCCACTTGAACGGGGGTTTCGGTCGTTGCGACCGAGCCGGGTGGCACTAGATACGCGTCGTAGGTTTGACCGGGGTGCGCATGTGTTGCTGTTGGAATGGTCGAACCGTACTGAGGGTGGGAGCCTGACTAGAAAACGACGCCTCTAATGGTGAAACGATCGGATTGCTCTGACCGTACTGCTGTGACGAGGCAGCGGGATGGCCACGGTGTGAACTGGGTCGAGTTGCTGGACCGCGGAATGCGTGGGGCTGCTTTGCCCCAGTGGTACGGCCAAAGCGTGGAGTGGGCCGTATGCTGTTTCTGGTAGGCAGGTCGGTCCGGGATTCACCCATGTTGGCTGGGATTGCCCCCAGCTATTTGTCGGCGGCTGAGAATGCTGGCCGTAGCCTGACGCTTGGGTACGGTCGGAGACGCCGAGGCTGCTGCTTTCGCCGTAGGGCTCAAACCTCTCGCGCTCTTGGCTTCTCTGTCAGGCTCTGGGAGGGGTCGCGGACGACGTCACCGGCATCCTCTCCTAAAAGAGCGTCCGTAGCTCTGAGGAGAATCTGTCCATTACGGCCATAAAGGATGTCTCTATCCTGTAGGCCTGCTTAGCCATCAGATCCTCCACTACTGCTTGCTCTCCCATGGACTCGGCCGCACGATCCGTTGTTGTTAGAACACTGGCCGAGATTCTGACCACGTGTTCGGTCTCGTCGATAGTGATTGGTGAGGTGGACTCAGGAGCCTCGGAAGTCATTTCGACTGTTTTGTTTTTAAGCTTTGCCTGTGCCCTAGTTTCCACCATAAGTTTTTGACAAGTGTCCCACTGGGCGTGCCAAAAGTGCTGGTGCTCCGGGCCGCGGGGATGTGCGTTAACACGTGACGTCCTTCTTTTGGATGCGGTGCAGTTGTGCGCGAGCGTGCCAGCACGGTCTACCGTGCGTCGAGATGGTGATGAGGTTTGGGTCGAAGATGGTTTATATGATGCGCCTGTTTCGTGTTCGACTCCTGATCAAAAGATTGTGGTCGAGAGAGGAACTGATCTCAGCCGTCAGGTTCACGGCCTGAGCTACAAGGTCGTTTAATGGTGGTGTTGGTGGCGGGTTTTAGGCGGTGCTCCGGCGCGTTGCTCAGAGAGCGACGGTCTGAAAATCAAGGGTCGTATGATATATTGACGAATGAATTTTTCTTACAATCTACCACTACTCCTAAGAAAGCAAATAAAGGTATTGAAAGTGCATTACAGGAAAATATAATTTGCTCGGTGGGAGGCTTTTGGTTTGGTGTTTGAACCCCTTAAATGTAGTCTTGAGTTTAGTATTTATAGGGGGAGTCCTGGAGGGACAATCGAGGCTGACAAGACCTGCGTGGTGGAGCCTGACCGGGGCAAGTGGATAGTCAAATCGGCATTTGGGATCGTGAAGTATGGTGGCTTAGGGTTGAAAAGCATGGTGGTGTGACCCCTATAAATCTCGGTAAATCTCGACCACCACCCTGATCGTGGGTTCTGCCCCCTTGGCCATGGGAACGCATTTAATGCCCTGGTCTGGTGGTTTGTGATCTGACCTCAAGTCGTAAGATTACTTGTGAAAATGTCTGCGCCTAACCACCCTGATTTCCATCACCAAATCCTGACTTCAGTCACTTCCCTTGTGCATTAAAAGCTTCTTGCGACTAGTGGGTTTGCTGCGAAGTCAGAGACATTACTTCATTAAATGGGGCGTGGGACCCTGAGGCCACGTGGCGATTTAACCACAGCTTCTTCGGCCGTGTCTTTTACGGCCTTCAGCTTCGGCCTTCAACACTGCGGTCACGAGACCGAGAGGATTCTGCCTTTACAGTTTTCCTTTTGTTTCAGGAAGGCGAAATGCTCCACGAAACGGTAGGAGCCAGGGCCGAAACGAAGTCCCCTCAATCAGCTTATGACCGTGATTTATTAGGCACAAACATGGTGTTGATGGCTGCTGTTTGAAAGGGCCTTATCCTAGGCAGATCTTGACGAATGTTGGGGTGGATGGGAACAATGGTTATTTTCCAGTAGCTTATGCTGTGATTGATAATGAGAGTAAAGACTCTTGGATTTGGTTTTTCAATCTGCTTATTGAAGATTTAGGGATGGTCATTAGTGACAAACAAAAGGGACTTGTACCTCCCATTGAGACAGTACTTCCAATTGCAGAGCCCAGGATGTGTGTGAGACACCTGCACAATAATTTTAAGGCATCACATATTGGTATTGCTCTGAAACAAATATTATGGGCTGCAGCAAGAGCTACAATTGTGCCTTGGTGGGAGGCAGAAATGGAGAAGATGAAAAATGAGGATGAGGAAGCTTGGAAGTGGTTAAAAGAGAGACCTGCAAAAATTAAAGTAGATATTACTTCAAGTCACATTTTAAATGTGATGTTTTGTTGAATAATCTATGCGAAAGTTTCAATGCAGCCATACTAGATGCAAGGAATAAGACAATTTTGAGTTGCTTGGAGAGAATAAGGGTGTATGTGATGCTTAGGATGGCTAGTAGGAGGTTTGCATGTAAGAATTGGAGATACTCTATTGGGCCTAGGATCTTCAAGATAATTGAGAAGAACAAGCTAGGTTCATCACAATGCATTTCTAGATTGGCTGGTGAGAAATTTTATCAAGTGAGCCACATTTATGGTGGAGAATTTATTGTAGACCTTAGAGCAAAGACATGCTCTTTTAAGAGGTGGAATTTATGTGGAATACCATGTCTCCATTCAATCTTAGCAATATTTCAAAGATGTGAAAACCCAATTGCTTATGTGGATGATTGTTATAAGCCCGAAACTTATATGGAGGCTTGTGAACCAATGATTTACAACATCCCTTCAATGGACCAATGGAGTAAATGTGGCCTTCCTCCAATTAAACCTCCACTTTATAGGCAACAACCGGGTATGCCTAAAAGAGATAGGACAAAGGAGCCTTGTGAGGTTGAAATACCAAACCCCATCCCTCCAAACCATATGCCGACAAATTATATTGCCCCACCAGCCAAGCTTAGAAGAGTTTTCATTCAAATAAGATGTCGCAGACGCGGTCAAAGGGGCCATAATAGAGCAACATGTGACAGACATAACAATGAAAACCTGTTTCGTGGGCTTTTCATTGAGAAAAATGAGCTCTTTAAAATAGGTGAATCAAACTTGGCATGCAGCCTGCACAACTCTCAATCTTCTCAAGGATGTGTTTTTGTTTAAGTATAGAGTAAATCAACCTGATTAATGAAGACATCAAATGTGAAGCCAAATGTTTTGAATTGTGAAATGGAGCCAAGAATCTTGCAATATGTGGACCATATCATAGCTAATGTCTTTCCTGTGAGTTTCTCAAAGTTGCATAATTTCATGCCGATTTGATGTTCAAGATTAGAAATCAGAAATGACATTGCATTATGTGATTTCAAAGTAACCACTCAAATCTTTTGAGTGGATCTCGAATTCCTCTCCAATAGCACTCAAACCCATTTGGCAACGTTGAAATTGTACTTGTATTCAAGTAGTTAAAATTCTATCATGTTTGGTAGGTTGGATTAGACTGGATATTTTCAGTTAAAAAGGACAAGAGTCCTAGTCATTATTTGGTGAGCTTAAAGTGTGTCTTGGACTAGATAAGTGCCTTGCATCCAAGTCGAAGCTAGTCTTCCGTCCTAAGAATCTAGAAGTAATGAACATATTTTAGACCTACGAATCTAAGAGTCTAAAAAAACATCAAAACACCTTTAAAAAGTTTCAATTTGAACTAATTTTAGACTCCCAAATATAATTTAAAGATTTATAAGTGGCGCATAAGATGAAGACAAGACTTGACATCTAGGAGCAGGTCACTCGTCAAATCACTCAGCACACCCACAATACAAGTGTTCACCAAACTATCATTGTGGTTGTGCTGAGTGGTTAATTGAGCAGTTTGGTAAGTTCGGGCTATAAATGATAAAAACTCAATTAAACGTCATATATCAAATACCTAGTGAATCTATACGCAATATTACCAATTAAAAAACTATGATCCATAAGAAAACCTACTTTCACAGGGAATACAACATATACAAAAGCCAAGCAATATTGTTCCAAAATGAAGGTACCATTGTAATTATGGCCCAAAGATATCGTTTAGCTAATAGACGAATCCTCTATCGTCCATCAACTGTGGTATTAGACAAGCCATTTACTGATATAATTTGCAACTCCCTTCTACTTATATTTACATCAGACACAATAACATTTCTTATTGTGATGAATGCTGGCCTTGTAGGTAATGGCAATGAAATTGTTTCAGTGATCAACATAGATACGACGTCAGACATGCAGGGCCGATCAGCTGCATTTTCTTCCACGCATAACAGACCAACATGGAAGCATCTTAACAATTGATCTTCAGTACATGAATCCTTTAGTGTTGGATCCATTAGCTCTAGCCCCCTGCCTTCTTTCCATAACTCCCATGCCTGAAAAAATATTGCACTCATTTAATTAAGTTGTTGAAAGATTCATGATATATATGTTCACAACTCAAAAAAGAAAATGTTAATCGTAAATTTGATTTGTAAGACATACATATCCTACTATATTGAGCACGTGATCAGCAATGTAGAAGCTACTATTTCTCCTACCACTCATGATTTCAAGCATTAACACCCCGAAACTATAGACGTCAGATTTAATAGAAAAAATCCCCTCCATAGCGTACTCAGGAGACATGTAACCACTGTATCATACAAAAACCAAATATATTTAGTATATATTTGTAAGTACTGATTTAGCAATGTCAAAGTAAAGGCATAATAATTTATAATGTATGATCCACTTACTATGTTCCAACAATCCTATTAGTACTTGCTTCAAGTTCATTATGTGTAAAAATTCTCGCCAAACCAAAATCAGAAATTTTGGGCTTCATATATTCATCAAGTAGTATGTTACTAGCTTTTAAATCTCTGTGAATTACTCTCATTCTTGAGTATTTGTGCAAGTAAAGCAGTCCTTGAGCGATTCCTTCAATTATGTTGAACCGCTTCGTCCAATCTAGTAGCATCGCTCTGGTTGAATCTGTCCATGAAAATAGCTGGAAATGTCAGATTATTCGAATAGAAGAAATCAAGTAACTAAGATTAAAGTGATCGAGAATCTCAATTGCCGACCGAATAAAAAGTAGTCCAAACTTTTGTTTGGCATGTAGGCATAGATTAACATCCTCTCTTCCCCATGAATGCAGAAGCCAAAAAGCTGGACGAGGTTTGTATGTTGGAGTTCAGATATGAGTATCAATTCATTCTTAAACTCCAAAGTTCCTTGCCCTGAACATCTTGAAAGCCTCTTCACAGCGATTTCTTGTCCCGTCACAAGTTTTCCCTTCATTAATAATCCATAATATAGCACCAAGTAATCAGGTTTATATTTTTCAGTTATTAATACAAAGACACTCATTTTTATTTAAAACCTCAATTACCTTATAAACAGGTCCAAAGCCCCCCTGTCCGAGCTTGTTTTCTTCCGGGAAGTTAGTTGTGGCAGCCACGACAGATGCGTAGCTAAACACTGTCAAATTATTTCCAAGCTTTCCGTCATTTTGAAGCCCGTTGACATCATCAGTGGATCTATCAGATTCCATCCATTCAAGCATTTCATTCTCAATCATCGGGTTGGTCTCCCCTGTTTAGATTAATGTTGTAAGAAAATTAAAATTTACAATTTCCAAAGCCTTCATGGATGTTTAAAGAGTCTACCTGAAAATAGTTTCCTCCTTAGTAGATAGCTCGAGATGGAAAGCACCATTACCAATAGAGCAGCGCCAATAGCCGTGCCAATCCATATCCACTTACGTGCTGCACATAGTAACACAAATGTGAAGAGATAATTTTTTGTGTTGTGACAGATCAAGTTGCACAATGAGGAAGAAAGTCGTCGTGACTGATAGGCAAGTGCCACTATTTTTAAACTACTTTCTGTACCATCATTTCAGTTGGAATCAAATTCACGTTCATATAAAGTGTTCCTATTGATTTTATTTGTTATATTCCTTATGAATTGTTTTTGTCTTTCACTACAGCTTGTTTAGTATGGACGGAGACTTTGCATCAATGATTGAGCTTGTGAAGCTACGCAAACTGCATGGCTTTTTGTTAGTTATTGATGAAGGCAAGGCGTAGATGCAAGGCGTTTTAGTCACGCTATGTGAGACGTAAGCCTTTCGAACATTAATTTATTTTAATAGGAAAAATTTATAAATAATACAACACAATTAAATTGTACTACTAATTCTTAACAATCTTTTAAATATATAATCAAATATAAGTACTAATTGTCATTTAGGCATCATAATCGATCCCAAAACATAAAATATTTATTCATACCAAAAGGAGAGAATTCTTGAAATTGATGGGAATTATTGAATAAATGTAGAAATTAGGGTTGTACTATACAATATATATTTATATATAGGTCCATGTGTTAACATATTAATTTGGAAAGAAAAAAAAAGGGTAAGTAGAATCGAATCTGCAATTGATATATACAATACATAGCATGTATTATTAACTTTATATATTAATTTATAATATATATTAATTTCATTAGAAAAAAAGGAAAGAAACAACACTGAACGTGCGTTTCATTTAAGTAACCTCAGTTTTAAAAAGGCTGAAAGTGAACGGCGTCTTTTTAAAACCCTAATAAAAAATTTGACGCTGACTCTTCTTCTTTCTCGCGAGCTCTTCTTCTTCTTCCTCGGGCCGCCTCGTCCGTCTGGCCAGGCCTTGCAGCGCTTCATCACGCCTTCCCACGCCTCACCGTGCTAAACGTGCAGCTTGCGGAACAGCCGACCGCCTCAGGCGATCTCTTGCTGCCTCTCTCAAGCTCGCGCCGACGCGCGCGAAGGCATGCCTTTGAAAACACAACTCTTTTGACAGCAACTGGCTTTTGGCTACCCAAAATCAGCCCTTTATAAACTGTTGACGAGGCTCCTCTATCAAGCTCTTCCTTGAAATTATTAGTCATCTTTTCTAGCTCTTCATAAGCATATCGTCGCGGAGCCACACTCTCATTCAATTCAAGGTCACCATTCACAGCACTCATTCTTATATATGCCAATTCAAGGTCACCATTCACCACAACACAATCACGGAAATCAACAACAAAATGGATCAAAGCAGTAAATGAAAGATCAATAATGAGGATGTCAGTTGTACCTTTTTTCTTGCTTCCTGGTTGAACAATTCTAGGATCTGTATCTGGTTTTGTAGGTACACCTACCTTGATGAGAGCTCTGTCTGAAGTTCCATTGTCTCTTCTACCATATCTCAAAGGAAGCCTCTGCTTTCTGCAGTTTGTACCGTCAAAAAACACAGCTTCACAGTCACAATCCTCCAGACAGCCTTGTATGCAATCGTCTTCGTCGGATAATGTCAAACTCATATACGAACTATCTTCCCATGTTGTGTTTTCCAGCTTTTCCATGGTGTAAGTGAAATTCTCATTCCTGTTTTTGCAGGCATCCGCAACAAAGTTTCTCTCGCACCCGGATGTCTGATTTCCCGGGTTGACAGATTCGAATCTCCGAAGACATCTACAGTCAGGCTCTAGATCAATTAAGACACAATAGCTATTAAATCCGCATAGGCCTTTAGGAACACACTTTTCCTTGGAAGACTCCCACTCAACTGACCAAATTGCATTCTTTTTCAAATCATGTGAATACAAACGAAATATCCCACCTACATCAATTCTCATAAGATAAAGTTTTCCTTCATCAGTAGGAAGACCTCCATCTGTTATATTCCGAATATTCGTAGCATTCCCGTTGAGCAAGTAGAGATGGCCATCAGCACCAAAATTAAGTGTCACATTCTCTCCCTCGCGATCAGTGAAAGATGAATAAAACGAATAAACACTGGTGTCTGGAGTATCTACAGGGTACTGAACAAGGTTTCCATCATTTTGCATTTTGAGACGGAAAATCCCCGTTGAGTGATCAGCTTCTGATTTCGCAGAGAAAAGTTCGTTTCCTGATAAAAGGCATTGACCTGGCAAAAGGGTGTCGGTTGGATGATCAAAGCTCTGCCATACTATTTCCCGACCAGAGTTGTACAGCACGAAATTACCCGAATCGAGCATGGAAGCATAAGAAGCAGAGCCAGAAGGACTTACCAAGTAATTTTTGCCTTCTGCTGTTGGCAAGGCAAGGCCGTCACCTGTGAAGAGCAAGGTGGCATTGTTGGAGACTGGTGGATCATCTCGATTCGCAGTCCACACGACTGTCTTTTGGGGAATTCCAGCAAGAAATATCCCAACAGCATAGCCATTGCCTTGCCTGTAAAATCCAAAGGCATATAGACCAGAACGAGACAGCCATGTGGAGTTGGTGGTTGGTGTTAAAGAGGAGCCTTGGCTTATATTCGACTGCATCTGTTGTGCTTCAGCAGCAACAAATGCCAAGGCAAGAAGGCATGCCAAGCAAGCCATTGAAAAATGATCTCAGTGTAACTTGTCTTCCTCTTCCTTTGTTTTTTTTTTTTTTCCTTCTGCAGCACTCCAGAAAATTGGTTCCAATGCAGTATGAAGTTCTAATTCTGAATTTCTGTTTAATTTAAACCATAAGAAGATTCAAAGGAGAGATACAATAAGTGCCACTCCGGTCAAAAGTGATGGAATACTTGTCATGCGTTGACGTTGACGGAGTTTTTTGGGTCCATGTAATTAACTAGATACAGACTGAGGTTTCTCACGTGAATCAGATTGTCCCCTCAATAGGGGAGGTCTAGAGCTTCGCATGAGTTGCCCACTCAATAGAGGAGCTCGGAGAGGAGTCCTGAGCATATCCAGCACTCAATGTTGGACCATTAATTTATCTCGCTCTGGGGAAACAAGTAGGCTCGACTAGTACGAAAATCCAATTGAGTCCCCTAGTAATTTACATTATTCCCAAATTTCCACCTGTAAGAATAACACAAACGTATAAAAATCCTCGACATAGACATAATTCAACAACCCAGCAGAGTAATAATCTATTTCGCTACAAATTTCATGGAGAAGTTCATAAAATGATAAGAAATAAAAGTCCTACGAAAATAAAGGTGTATGAAAGCAAGAGCTTAAGTAAGAAATTGCGGTAAGGGAAAGACAAGAAATTAGGTGTCCAAAAGATGCACCTAATTTTCTTTATAGTCAGATTGTTAACTTTCTCCTAAATTTGTCCCTAGTGGTAGGTCCCAGAATTTGTGAACTTGACTTTGTGGACTTTTCCAATCGGATGTAAGGAAAACGAGTCAGGTCGTTTTCTTCTTTACATGCAATGAATCGGTCCAAATCAAACCCTTCAAGTGCATTTTTCTTCTTTGATTTTAGGGTTTTTTATGGTTTTGCTCCTCAACTATTTGTATGTTGTCAATTTAACTCCTTAACAAATTTTTCGAAATCAAGGACTCTAATTGTTTTAAAATCACCGGTTGAGGGCTTACCATCAATTTTTTTTAAAGGGTAAATTCGTCATTTAAAAAAATAAAAACCTTACCTACCAAAAATTAAACATTTAAATTTTTTTAAAATTAGCATTTAAAATTTAAAGAAAAGAAATATTTAACATTTAAAATTTTAAAAATTTCAATTTAAAAAAATCGAAATTTAGAGAAAAACCCAAAGGAAACAAGCAGCTTTCAAAAAAACCCAAAACATTTTCAAAATGGCACGAAAGCCCTTTATCTTGAATAACAAAGACATGCAAGCCCTAGGTCTCTCTTCTCCACAAAAGACGACAGCAACATGTGAAGTCCTTGTCTTTTTTCAGCAGCAGCAGTAACAGTACCAGCAGCAGCAGCAACAGTGTAGCAGTCCATAATTTTAAACTTTGTTTGCTTGTACAATCGTCATGTGAATTCTTTGGCTTGTATAGTGTGTGCATGTGAAGTTCATATGAAACTTCAGAGAGTAAGAGAGATAGAAAGTTTCATAAAGAGAAGAACTCTTCTTCTCATCCTTAGCTTCTTCTTTTCTTTTCATCCTTAGCCATGGTAGAGGTCGGTGTAATTTGTGTATATAGTTTGTAACTCCGAAGAACGAAGTACAGAACACCAGAGAAGAAAAAATCTCAGTACTTCCTCCTTCAATCAATAAAACTCCCTTTGTTCATATACTTTCTCTTTTCCATTTATTGTATTTACATACTCCGACTACTGTTAATACCATCTATCACTGTCAATATCTCCGACCACTGTTTATATCCGGTGATAACAGTAGTTCCAGCAACATAAGCAATTAAGTAAGTCATTTTTCTCTTTTATTTTTGGTTTTCTTAGTAGACTTCTTGTCCAAAATAGGGAAACGCTGTTTATAATTATGTTATTATCTTGCTAAACTGACGATCAGTACTGTGTTTGAGCACTTGGTCATGTTTGATATTTGCCATAACAATAATTGGATGTCTGTCAGGGAACCTCTGAGTTCAGAGGACCTCTGAGTTCTGCTCCATAGCCCTTAAGTTGGCGTCTTTGCAGTTCCATGTTCTAGTTCCATGTTCTAGGCATGGTGTCTGGTTGTTATTTTGGCCTTTAGAAAACCTTGACCGAGCTCCCGCTTCAAAAATGGTATCAGAGCTTTAGTTTAGCACCTTAATAATATAGTTATACCAGTAAAGTACCTTGAGGACAGAAGTCAACCAACACAACTGATAAAAACTAAAGTTTTATAATCTGTTAAAATTTTGTTACCAGAATCACTAGTTGAAAACAGTAAACCGTTTGCATGTTTGGCCCTTGGTGGACACCTATTAGAATAAAAGAAAGGTT